AAGCGCATCCAACTCCAAACGGAACAGGTGGTTTCTGACGGGAACATTTGCGAGCCCTTGCATGAACACAGTAATCAACGTGTGTTCATTTTACCGGGTTAGCAGTTATACTACTCGCGAGGAGTCGTATATGCTGAGCGTAAGCGTGCACATCACGCTTACCCAGTTGAGTTTCAGGAGCTCAGATCGAGCCCTGAACTCAGCCCGTGGCGTTTCAAATGTCTGTTTGAGCTGGGTCTTGAAGGATTAAAGCGACTCGAGATCAAATGGGTCGCTCATCTCGAGCCCTAAGGCCCAAGTCTTGGCACGTCCTACCAAGTGGGCTTGAGCAAATGTGAGTTTCATTTGCTCATCTTCGATACGACGTGCCCGTATGGATCTGTCTAGTTCGACGAACCATAGTCACAGGAAGTCTTTCTCGACTCCTCTGTACTTGGAGATGTCTAACTTCAAGATTTTAGGACGACGCGTGTGTGGTGAAGTCGATCTCACAAAATTACTTTAGTGAGTGTCGATCTTCCACTTGCCCAGACTTGCCGACTCACGGAGGGGGTACTCTGATCCGTGTCTTGCTGTATAACCTTGTGCTCACCTTGTGTACCCGTCGGTTGGGCTGGCTTGAGCTCTTCGTAACGGCCTTGGGAGATGTCGATCTCGCTGAGGGTTTGGGGTTGAGCGTTCGCTTCCGGTGCGGAAATCTTCACACCACGAACGGGGTTCTGCGATCTTGATCTTGAGTCGCGGCAGTCACTCTTGGGCGATGTCGCGATCTCGATCTTAAATCACACCGATCTCGATTTGTCTTCGGGATCGGGGTCTTTGCTGTGCGGAAATCTTCACTCAGCAAATAGTTGTCTTGCGTCGACCTTGCCTTGGGATCGGTCTGATCTAGTCTCGGGATCGGCCGATCTTGCCGGAAGTGCGCAATATGGGTGGATCGGTTGCTTGTTTCGCCAAAATGAAACGTGCCGATCTGCCCTGTAGATCGCTTCGGTCTTGCTCGGTCTTGTCTTGAACTCCTTGTCCAGATCTTCTGACCACTTGAGCTGCCTCGCGATCTTGTAACCAATGTCCTTTTCCTTTTCCTGATGTTGCTGCTACCCTAGCAGTTGAGTTGAGTGTGAGTACTTGATCGATCCGGGCCAAATATCCCGAGATCGCTCTTCTCGATCTTGGCCAACAATCCAAGATCGGTCTTCTGTGTCCTTGTAACACGCGCGCCTTGACCCGCCGGGGAAGCCAAATCAATCTTGCCCGGAGAAGAGGGGAGGGGAACGTGCGTCGTGAGTAGAAGAAGTAGAGTTCAAGTATGTTTATTAACCAACCAAATTAATATCCGACCTATCATTAAGCCTATTCCCAACCGTAGGTCACTGTCCAAGTCGATATCACCTTTAAGCTTGACCGCCCCCTTGAACACGTGTCGAAATTTCGTGACCTGTGCTCCAAAGATAGCGCCAATACTCCCGATATCGTACCTAGACACCAAAAAGGACCAAATTCCAAATACGGTACCAAATACCCAATTTTGATACCGAAAAGTCCAAAATAGTATCCAAATGCCGAATGTGTCTAAATCCATTTTGCGACGTCCATTCGACCGGCTTCCACTGGCTCTTTCGGTCTGAACTTTTGGGACATCACTCATGAACCTTCAACAAGCATGTACATCATCATACGATAGCTCCATCATCGATATATCCATAACCAGCAGGGAACATGACCGATCTGACGTCCAATTCGAGATCGAGTAGGCTCGACACAGTGCGATCCGGCCCTATATGTCGTTTCCGTTCATTGCGTGTACTCCAATACCATTCCCAAGGGTCTATCTGCTCAATGGGACCATCCATAGTTCTTACAACGGTCCCACGGACTCCCACAAACATCCACAATTCCAGATCGGTCCATAATTAACCTAAATCAGTACTTCTTTTGGGAGCCCGGTATAGAATGTCACCGATCTAATAGACTTCAACACCGTTGTCACAGAGTCACTTCGCATCGTCTGGTCCCAGATGTACCTTTCCCAGAGTAATTCTGCTTCAGATCAGCCGTTTAGTACAATCCATTCCCTTGTCCCAGATCGCACCGTTACAATCATCCCTTGTCCCAGATCGCAGCATGGGAATCATCCCTTTTCACGCCACGTCTCAGATCGTTCCATACCCGTCAGTCTGACGACAGTTGGATCGTATCGTCTTTCTCCGTCGGGATCGCCTCCCATCTCTCATTGGATCGCCAGGTCCCGTGGTCTAATTCTCCACCAGTAAGTGGCGCCTCAAATATGTGGTCACCGATCCTCGTAGAAAATTTGATTAGTGACTTTGCCACACGTGTGTGTCGTCCCGTCCACAGCAGCATTGAATTGCTTCTGTCTCAACTGCTCTGTCTGTTGAGTAAAGAGTTCTCTCAACTGTTCAGCCTGTTGAGAGCCTTGCTGTTGAAGCAAGGATACCTTTTCTTTTTCGGCGACAAGTTCATTTTGAATGGACCTGGCTATAGCGGCATGTTGTTGTCCCTGTAAAGGGACTCCAACATGGCGCTTACGGCGGTTTCGCCGCACGGTAGAACTCATTCCTTCTACCGCCCTCCATTTGATGTCACTCAAATGGTTAAAGCCTTCACCCGTGGCGTGATAGCTCTCCTCCTCATCCAACATGTTCTTATCGGATGAGGTGGTTGTGGTCGCTGGACGGACTACAAATTGCTACCAGGTGTAACGGGGCACGCCTTGTGTCAGTTCGACACAAGGTTGTGTGCACCCGACGTCACGTACACGGGGCAAGGAAGCGTAGCGAAGTAGGCAGAACTCGGAAGCTCTGTCTAGGGAAAAAAAGTGGAACAGTTATTTAATATAGTTAATCTCTTCACTAAATCGTCTTTCGTCTTAATCTAACTATTTACACTACCATCCTATGTGGGTCTCTTGCTCACCACCCATTGCGCGCGTCCAGCAGCGATTGGTGGTTAATTTGGTTGATGTAGATGTTACATCAACCAAGAAGCGGAGCACCCACGAATATTACCCTTGAGGGTAATATTCCGACAACATCACCTCTTCTCGAGTGATGTTAATCGAATATCATCAGAATAGATAATACTAAAAAAATTGATACTAACTATCAATTTTTATGTAGCGGGATCACCCCGTTAGACATGATCAAAGCAAAAGCACATTCTTTAACGTTCTCCGTTATCAAAACCCAGAAGCTGAAACGGTTGCAAACCCATCGGTTTCGGAAAAGGTTCGACTGGCATTTCGCACCACAAAACACCAGTGTCGACATCAAACGCATGCGAGCAAATGTAAACACACACGACTTACGAGCACATATCACGTCTTTTGCTGTATGTAGCGGAATGCAATTGTGGCCATTTCTTGTGTCTGCCACATACACGGCCGTGTGTCTCGGTAGAAGAAAAAAACAGTTCCAGAAACGAAGACCACTAGCGCCAGAGATCTTTTTTTCTTTATATGCTTCACTCTTTAGCCGTGCATATTGCGCATGAGCAACGACAGTATCTTCGAGAAACATGTATCGGCATTGCGTGCGTGGTGGCTATAGTATACCTGAGCGGGACTGGGTGCGGAGGCGCGCCTAGTTATGGCGACAGCAGTATAAGGAGATTGTACTAGGGTGTGACAGGATGCCCCCTTCCCCCTACCTGCTACGGCTACACTCTCTCGTGACGAATCTCAATCGACATTCCTTACGTGGTCGTACCCCCTGATGTGTTGTTTGGTGGTCAAGCCGACCAACACACGCCATACGCATAGTAAAAGGGGGTGGAGCAACTGTGTCTCAACGTAAAGTCTCTGTCGTGCAGCAGCACGGTGCGTGGACGATGTGACACCAAGTCAGACGTGTGTGTTTTTTCGTGGCCAATGCATGGCCTAGACGTTTGATCACCACTGTTTCCAGGTGGCATTTAAGAACATCTGACTCGTAAGCTCGCTCCCACACGGTCAAAATTGAAGTGCACTACAGATGTTTACTTGCATGCAACACTGCTGCTTCTACAGCGTCGCGTCGTTTTTATTCAATTTCTGTACTCGTGCGACGCCATTCGCTGCTCGTACATAGCAAGTAGAAAGAGCAGACAGTGCGCTGAAGTCGACGGGAGCGAACAATGTTCGTCGCGGCGACCGGTGGTCACTTACACTAAGCCAATACGAGCGAGCGGCACGTACGAGGAGCACGTGCTTGATGGAGGCAGAGAGGCAGCATCAGGGTACGATCACTCTGAATTCCTAGCATCATCAACAACACAACGTCGCGATAACGTCTGGCCGTGTATACAGCTGGAAGCTGTGCGTGTTCCTCGTCGTCAAGTCGAACGACCGCGCGAGCACCAAATCCGTATTCTCTCAGAGAGGTTCCACGTTGTCTATTGACCAGGCGTAAACAATGTACAAGATCGCTACAAAGCCCTGAGCCACGAAGGGGGTGTAAGTCAGTGCTGGGGCGGGGGGGGCACAAAGGCGTGCCATGGCTACCACCGTGGAAACTCCGATCCTCTGACGTCCCGGTCCAGCCATTCGATACCAGCCGAAAGCGGAGCATAATTGTTTTAGGGCGAACTCAATCTGCGATGCTCCTTCTTTGCGGTTGCTACGAGATGGCAAAGAATGGGCACGGACCTTCACAACTGACCATACGGTCGCGACAAGGGCCGACCGCGGCTGCTCTGTCGACCGCTGTCGTTCCTCCTGTCAACTAAAAGGTGTGTGTTCGGACGTCTCGTTGCAAGAGCGAGCTGACTTTTCGTCCATACGCTACGGCCTGACCTGTGCGCGTACATGTGGTCGATCCAGGTGGCGAACTGCCTGGCAATCTAGTTCACGCGCGTCGTCATGACGGCGCCGGGGCAAGCGTTCTGAAGGTCGTTGCCACGAGACCGACAATCTCACTTTGCAATACGCCGCCAACCAACAACAACAACAACAACAACAGCCTCCTCCTCCCTTCCTCCCACCACCGTTCGACAAACCCACCATGCGCTGCACTCTTGCCCTCGCCCTTCTCACGGCCCCCGCATTCGTGGCGGCAACCCTCCAGCCGGCCTACACCAACAGCAAAGGCATGTGCCCTAAGACCGTCAAGTGCGAAGTGATCGAAACGTCCCCTCCCATCCAGGCCGCCGAGTGCTCGCACAACACGCGCACCCATGATAGGCAGACTTTTGCCGTCTTCAAGGTCGACCACCAGTATGATGGCAATCACGGCTACCCCTACGGCACGTGCTACGCTTACACGTGCGAGGAGGTGCCGTCTGCGCAGGACATGATCGAGGACCCGGACTGCTGGACATTCTTTTGGAAGTAAGTCCATCTACATTTCGTGCAGCCGATTGATTGTTATGCTTATGTGCGTCTGTATCGTTGTGTGCGAAACAGCCAAAATGGTCTGAACGAAAGCGTTGGAACTGGGTGCATCAGGGATCCCGACCACGGCCAATGTGGCTGCGAGGAGTCGAAACACGGCAAGTTCTATGTCGGCAAAACCGACTGCGTGTAAGACTCAGCTCGTCTTTGCCATCGGAGTGTTCGTTTCTTTTCCATTCTCTTTGACGAGAGTGTGAGAGGGGCGAGAAACGGACACGAAGAGTCGTGTCCAGTTTTGCCATCGATGTTCGAGAGCACGTCGAGCAGTTGCGAACGAGCAACTCAAGGTCCGCACAAAGGTCTTTTTTTTGCGTTGAAACCCACTTGCGTGCCGAATAAAAAAAGCAGTTTGCACGTTGCTGACTCGTTCTTCTATTTTACTTCTCCTACTTGCAACGCATGACGCCGCACAAAGTAGCACGCTCAGATCCACTTTGACGGATACTGCTACATCGGATAGCCCATCTAAATTGCTACACGGGCTGTCAAATGCAGGCTACGAAATAAAACTGGCCCATTGTCTTACCATTCGATCAAAAAAGCGGTTTTACGTCTCACAAGTGAAGACCACTTACGTGTGTGCTGTGGCAGCGTCTAGCAGAACGACGCACTGCCTCATCGAACATTTTGTGCTCAACAGTGTGACAGATCGCGGGATTCTGCTACGGCTCCTGTTGCTACTGCTTTTGGTGCAACTTGGCCTATGCTCGCAGTGCAGTAAGAACCACTTGTTAAATGCTACGTATTGTCCCTCGTGCTACGAGAGAGTGAACGAATCCGTTGCGCCAATCTTACCTCGTTATAACTCGTGTCGCCAGCCACAACTGCCATTTGCTTTTCCCAGGCAAACAGCACTCGCAGCTGAAGTCGGTTCGTAGCTTCGACGTCTGCCAATATATACTGTGTGAAGCTGACAGTGTGTGTGATCACGGCATGTCGCCCGCCACCCTTCGAACACACGAACTATACACTCCGTATAACGAACGGACTATACGGGCTGCGCTGTCCGTCGGACATCCAGAAGAACCACTCGTCCCGACCGCTCGTCCACATGCATTTGATCGTACAGATATTAACTACGGCAGCTCGACCGACGCTCGGCACCTCATAACTTATCGCCTTCGCCCCGCGGCCGCCGTCCGCATGCCGTCCCCGCGCCTGCTCTTCCGCCGCGCGCAGACGCCGCTGGCCGCGCTCTCACTGCTCGTCGGCGGCGCCTACGTGGCCGACCACGTCCACGCGTACGTACTGTGTGCGTCTCGCGCGTCCCGTCGCCGCTGTTGACTCGTTCGTTGCCGCTACGCCACAGCCACGTCGTGTCCCGATCGCTGCGGCTGGTGGCCACGGGCGGCCGCGTCGTGCGCGACTACCGCCTCCACGTTCGAGGCACTGCGCGGGACGATCCGAGCTACCGGTCCAAGTTGCAGCGCCTCAACGAGCGCACGGCCCAGCGGCTCCTGCACCTGTGCTACGAGAACGGGGGCATGTACACCAAGTGGGGCCAGCAAGTCGCGACGTTGACCCACGGACTGCCCGTTGCGTACACGGAGACGCTGGCACAGCTGCAGGACCGGGCCAAGCCCGTGTCGTTCCAGAAGGTCGTGCAGGCGATCGAGGCAGAGCTCGGCCAGCCCTGGCGGCACGTGTTTCAGGAACTGGACGAGACCCCACTTGCTTGTGCTTCGCTTGCACAGGTGCACCGTGCAGTCGACCACCTCGGACGGGAGGTGGCCGTCAAGGTCCAGTACCGCCACTTGGAGTCGCAGATGCAAGCTGACATCCAGGTCATCAAGTGGGCGTTCCAGCTGACCGAGTATTTCTTTCCAGACGTCCGGATCCAGTGGCTCGTGCCTGAGTTCGAGAGCGCAATCTTATCGGAGGTTCGTTGCTGTTGGTACTCGATGATCCGGTTGCTGTCCGTTGGTTGATGATTGCTGTCAGTCGGTCGATTGCGGTCATCACGTTACCTTGTTTTGACGTGTAGCTGGACTTTGAGAACGAGAAGAAAAACAGCCGGCGCGTTGCAGATTGCTTGAAACACAACGACAGTGTCCACGTGCCGATCGTGTACGACGAGCTGAGCACGAAGAAGATACTGTCCATGGAGTTCATCGATGCCCCGAAGATTTCGCAAGTCGATGCCATCAAGGAACTAGGCCTGGATCCGCCCAACGTTGCGCACTTGCTGTGTGAAGTGTTCAGCGAAATGGCATTTCGTCACGGATTCGTACATTGTGATCCGCACGCGGGAAATGTTTTCGTACGTCGCAATCCCGATCCTCAAGCCAAGCGGAAAGAGCAGCTTGTCTTGCTGGACCATGGCCTATACCGCGAGTTGGATTGCGATTTCCGGAAAGCATATTGTGACCTGTGGAGGGCAATGCTGTTGCGCGACAACGTTCTGTTGGACGACTGTGGCAAGCGATTGAACCTTGGGGAGCTTACCAAATACTTACCGCTGCTATTTACGCACCGGACGATCGACCGAAAGGGACGACCAGATGCGGCAATGAGCCAGTATGAGCGTAAGAAGCTCTCCAATGATCTCAAAAACATGCATGTATCAAGCGTACGTGCACTGGACTCTGTTTTGAACAGCTTGACGTTTCCAATGTTTCAGTGACTTACTAATGAGGCATCGTGGTGCACAGTTCACTGACTTTTTCGAGCAGCTTCCGAGAGATATGTTGTTCGTCTTACGAACGGACAATATGGTTCGAGCTCTGAATAAGGATTTGGGAGGAACGACGAGGTTTGGACCATGCGCTGTAGTGCTGAATGTCGTTTGCCACAGTGTGCTGACTGAAAGTGGCTGTCGTGTATAGGGAGCGTTTTCACGTCATGGGCAGTTATGCTGTGAGTGAGCATTCAGCTTTCTACTCAGCTTCTGCTAAGGCAGGAAATGGCGGACTGCGGACGTCGATGAGCTACTGGTGGAATCATGTCAACTTGGTATTACGTTTCCACGTAGTTGACTACACTTTGGCCGCTATGCAGTACGTCAGGGGAGAGCCTAACGCGAAGACCCAGCGCGTGGTGGCTCCGTAGGCTGGCTTGGTGTAGAAGAGTTGATTCATACGCTGACAAACATAGTGAGGACGAGTAGATGCTGTGAACAGGTCTGCTATCGTTGCAGAAAAGAAGGTGATTGATGTCTGCACAAGAAAACGCACGATATGCCGAGTGAAATCAGGATAAAGTCAAGCTCATTGGTACGCACTTCTAGGCTGTGTAGTATACGAAGTGGAGTGCTCTCCGATGTTATTTTCCCAGTACGTAATTACGACAAAAGACGTGCATTGTCGCTGCAAATATGCGTCGGATGTCAAAACGGTCAAAAGTCACGATTCTTGTTTGAGGATTATCCATCACACACTGCAATCACAACATTTCTGTCGATAGCAATCGAATATGAGCTGTTTGGTATCGAACAGTGTTCGTATTGTGGGTTCGAGAACGTGAGACTCTCGTAGTTTTCGAAGTACGTGCGCTCGACTATCGTGTCCGTGCGACAATATCAAGCGGTATCATGTGATGTGTGCGAGGCTCATAACCAGCCGATTTATTTTTGCGTCTCATCGACTGCAACCACGTGGCTGCCTCGGCATTGCAACTCGTTGCCAATGCAGCGTCAAGTGTATTTCCGACGTGATGACGACTAGTTGAGCATAATTTGCACATTGTGGTACGTTTTGTCGACTTTTGCATCGATTCCTTCAGCAACAAGTGTCAGTATAACTTACTATGTCAGTGGCCATGTGTTGTTGTTGTTGTTGTTGAAATTGAAGATTGTTGAAATCGGTTGCGACCAGCACTACCCTGGCCAGAAAGGTTTAACCATCTAGCGGAGGTATCAATGGCAGCCTGTGGTAAGACCGCACAAACAGCTAGCCGTCTGGCTGATAGTAGCTGTTGCACCTTATTTGGTACAGATACGTCATGTACTATGAACCATCGCGAGAAGTACTCATTGAGTTGCGATTGAGGCCTGATAGTTGATCCCAAACACCCATTAAGTCATCACTTGCTTGCTCAGTCAATCAAAGCTCGCTAAGTCAATCAAAGCTCGCTAAGTCAACACTCGCTGAGTCACAACTCAATGAGTCAACCATCAATGAGTCAACCATCAATAAGTCAACACTCAGTAAGTCCACCCGTAATGAGTCAACGCTTGATGAGTCAGACACGCTGAGTCAACGCTCGCTACGACAACACTCGCTAAGTCAGCACCCTCTTGGTCGACCATCATTGAGTCAACGCTTAATGAGTCAACACTCACTGAGTCAACCTTTAGGGCATATTTTCAACAACCCTTCACCTCAGCAATTGTTGCTGAGGCGAATATTTTTGGGAGATGGGGCGTGCTCTCGAAGATGGATCTACAATCATACGAAACACAAACATGCACCGATTAACTTTGTTGAAGTACAAAAATTGGTGGCTCAGGTCGATAAAGTCAGAGCAGTTTGGACAAATACAGAAAAAAATATGCCATTTATCACACTGGAGGTAGTGCATGGCAAAAAAAGAAGAGAAGGAGAGAGAGCCACACAAGTGCTTTTCACGAAGTCAAGTCCGAACCCAATCATCCACTTGAGTACAAAGCGCGTATCTACCCACTGTTGTCGCTTCATCAATGCCCAATTGCGGGGAGTCTGCGTGTGGCGGGTATAGCTAATTATATGGACCTGTCGGGTATCCCGAACGACGCATGGGACGCGGTCAAATCTGTAATCAACCCAGGTGACGAACCGTCTGGTACAGCGTGTCAGGTATGCCCGGCAGCTCGCAAGCTCTGTCGTTTCGACAGCGCTACATGCTATCTTGATCGAGCGTCTCTGTCGCATAGAGGACTCAAGTTTACCACAAGAGGTAACACACCGCCAGGGGTAGAACCTTTTCCGCTGTGCGGTCGCAAGACTTTGCGGCTCGTCGTATAGTCTGCCGATGGAGAGGACGGCATCCTGCTTGCACGAGTGCGATCACCTCTTGCTAACTCTCTCTTCTGCTACGATGAACCTCCGTCGCTGCGATCGCTGTCGAGCGACATCTGCTCAGTCATTTTCTGCCTCCTTTTCTTTGACGGGGGATCGCGCTGCAATCCTATCCCAGGCGGAGCTGGATCCGTCATTGTCAAAATTCACGCTCCGACGCACGCCGCATGCATCATATGGGTAGAGTATGGCACACGCTTCTTCACAAATTACCTACAATGTCACTGTACGCCGGGAGCTTGTGCACGGTATCTATCAGGCGAAAGCGAGCGACTATTCACCCTTGCATGTCGTCGGGTACAAATCGCTAGTGATCTCCCAACTTCGGACGCATCGCTTCCCTCACAAGCCATCTTGGACGTTGAAATTTCGGACGTTGGGATATTGGGAAGTATGGGCCTTAGCCGACGACATCGCCTTCTCCTATCGGGGGGCATCACTACCGCGGCTACAACGAGATGGCGGATCGACAAACCAATATTGCTATGAACACATGTACACCCGATTCCGTGCACGGTCCCTCAAATCGACGTGTCGTCATGCGGGTTGCGGCCTTCCACGACAATGATGTCAATCACTTGCCGAAACCCTCCCAAGCCAAACACATCGAGCTCCAGGGCCCCGCGATGACCGCGAGAGGATTCGTTCTCTCGCGACAGCACCTTGAGCAGTGCCGCTCGGTTGTTCGGAGTATAACATTTACAAAGTATACGAGAGTTGATGTCTGCACGGTAACTTTGTTGCCGGTAGACAGGATGTAGCGGATCGATTGCGTACGCAACTATACCTCACCTTATCACTCACTCAGTCTGGCTAAATTCGACGTTTACCGATGTCTCGAGCCAACGGGTGGCATTGTGGATGACGGGTGGTTTGACTTTTTTCGGGCGATGCTCCGGTCCGTTACTGTGTGAGCTGCAACCGATCATTTCATATCTATCGCAACGTCTACAGCAAGATCTGTCGTCTTGTTACAGGCATAGTACTGGCGAGCCCAGCTGGACACCATATCTTCGTCGAATTAAGTTCCCAATTTTTTGACACGCGCGGCGAGTGCGGCTTGCATGTCGGGCGGTAAATACGGAGCTGAATGACAAGCGTCGGTGCTATCTCCAATTACGTGCGGAGATGTGAAACCGTCAGCGTTGATGGCCCAGGCGCCATGTCAGCAATCCACACGACACAAGCAACGTGTTCGGATCTGTCATTGAACTATACCTACGCCGGCAACACCAGATCGTAGGTTGCTTCAAGACTTTCATCGAAGAAATGGGAAGGTTGTCCGTTGACGAGTGCTGCGAATTTAGTAAACGTAACGGTGGCAATACAGAGTGTTTCAATTTCGTATCTGCCAGCGCTGAGTGCGCTCTTGTCAGCACAAATTATCGGTGGCGCCCACTGGATTGGGAGGTGGACCACGAAACAAGTGATCGCATTCCGCAATCCGGCGTGGTTGAATGCGTTGTGGCTTCCATGTGGTGGCATTGGGTCCTCCATCCGTCGTAGCCGCTCCAGCCAAATGACGTGGACTTCAATTGATACAACATATCACCATAATTCGGCCGATGCCTCATTGATTGTCTTCACAAGCTTCTAGTGTCTTTTGCGTGACCGCAGAGCCGTTTAAGGGATATCTCGGCACATTCTGGGTCTGAGAAAGCTCCGATCGAAACACAGTGTAATCAAAGATGCCGCCATGAAGACGACCGAGCTTGCTTCAAACTTTAAAAAAGACCTCGCTAACGCGCTGGGATAGCGGGCAAGACCAAAAGACATGACTTGCGGAGGCAAAGTCCCTCGAAGAGTATGCAGGATTCGAGCAGACTAGGTTGTTTGGCAATCGGTTCCAAAAATTGACAAAAGATTCTACTTAAGTAGAATCTCTTCGTGGGCGAAGGCTGAGTTATTTCAGCCACCTCGGAGATACGTTACAGGTTCGACTCGAGTGGATTGGAAGACTATACAATCAAAGTACTTCGACATGGATTCATCATCGTGTGGCGATGTGTATAAAATCAGTTTGCGTCAGTCTATAGAATACGTGTGCCTTGTTGAGGCGTCTTTGATCCTTCAGAGTTAGCAGCATGCTATACGGCGTATACTCTTTGCAATTTGTTCTGCCGATTATACAAATATTAATTCCCTTGAAGCAGGACTAGAAGCCATGTGAGCTAGTGAACTCTAACAGTCGTTGTTCTCCAAACCTGCTGGCCATTAGAGTCATTGTTCTTTGAACTACTAGACCCGTTGAGTCTTGCGTTCTGTTTTTCTAACTAAGTGGATCTTTATGTAGAAGTCTTACTCTGCCAGGGAGTTGGTGTATAGCTCCGCTACAAGGTGGGTGCATCCCCAATGTTTGCTTTACCAACGGCAAAAGCCGCACCTTAGAGCTTGTATTCCCTATTTCTTACCGGTTTCTTGATAGGCTCAGTGAGTCGCAAAATAATCTAATGACTATCCTCTGTTTGTCTTCGGCGGAGGTTCTTACATCCTTCGCCGAATCGCATGGTTGACGTGTGCCACGCGAAGGGCTCCTTCTGGATGTTCTTGGCGCTAGCCAGTCCAGATACTCCGACTATCCATTGTCAGGGGTTCAGGCTTCTACGAGAGGCCGCTGTTCAGTGGTACCTGGATTCCCCAGGTGATGCTTGACAATTATATGTCACACATTTCGGAAGGCCTTTATTTGGTCTTAGTAGGGATCGAATCGGCATGAGCAATAATGGTAATGGTAGATGTTTACCCGAGGCACCAGAGGAAACACCGACCTTTAAGCTTGTAATACAACACCTCACTAAAAAGGAACGACGACAGATTCAAGAGCGACGCATGCACCAACTAGGTGTGGACGACACGACCGATCTGGGAGTCAGTAAAGTTGCAAGGTGCAGAAAATGTTCAGGCTGTCGAGCCATTTCGTCAATCGCTTTAAACGTTTTTCTCGGTGGACACCGGCTCTTGACGTAAAAGAAACATGTAAATGTTCTGTAAAACCAGAGACATTTGTCACCCGTCAGTATGTTGTCAAAACCATACCTTATGAAACTTGCCGATACGTGCTCGTTACCTCCACAACGGATGACCTGTGCAAACAAATGGCGCATGCTGATCGCGTCAAATTTTACGCCAAATACTGAGAAGAGCCATGCGTAGCATAATTCTGCAACATTTGTAGTAGCCTGTGCCACTGAAGCCGAAAGTATGGACCTCGAAGTCGCTTCCATGATACAAATGCAAGGGCACATGTGCTAATACTCTGATACAGGGATTCATCGTGACATCTGCTTTGATGTAGTAAAGTGAAACATTATTTGCTGATTCTCAACTCGAACTATGTTATTGATATTAGCTTGTTCTTATGCGACTGACCAGCTTACGATGATAGACGTTACTTTTTCAGCTCACAAGATATCGGTATATGCCTCATCGCTTGCGACTGATTCTACGACCCGAAATTGTAAAAGAAAAGTCATTTGGTCACTTGATTGCAGAATGCAAAGTGGATACATATAGGTCCTTCGTCCGCAATCTCGTCTGCTACCTCCAAGCCTAATAATTTTTCTTTGGCTCGACAACCGATTGTCTAGTCGAGGATTACAAATCGTCTCGTCGCGCATAGCAATCAACACATCGCACATTACCAATCGCAACGTTACACATGAGCATTCTTCACATCGCACATTGTAAACTTACCGGCAATTGCTTGCTGGCCGAGACGCTTCTTGGACAACAATCGTGTATCATATAGAGGACACAAAAATCGATCACTCAATTGACCTTCTACCGTTTCTTGTTGAGAAACAATTGCTTACGATATGAGTCGTCATGCAATCTGTTGGTATATCGCTTAGCTGTCAAACTATTGATGTACTCGACAAATTTGGTGAAGCAAACCACATTTGGCCAAACAAGTAGTTCGTTTGTGACGGATAGTGGTGTCATGGCAGTGCAACGGACTGAGTCCGTTTCATTTCATTGGATACCAAATTGTGTTAATATGAATATTATGATTACTGGTAGTATCCAATATTCACCTTCCTAAGAAATCACTGAAGGAATATCACCTTCATGAGCAATATTCGGTACCGCTTTGCTTGTTGCTAACAACCAATGTTACAGGATCCAATATCAACCAACTCAACTACTAAATGCTCCTAACGCGCGCAGTGGGTGGTCAGCGAGTAGCTTCATTTGACGTTTGTAGTTTATTGACCTTAAGTAAGATCAAAGGGGACTTATAAGGAGTCTTTACTATGGATCACATACAGATCTACTATTTCCTTCTTCTAAACGAACAAGTTTACAAAGTAAGACTTTTCTGCACGTACAGTGTATGTGAGGTTTCGAGGCAACCGCTTACACTGTGTGAGTGTAGGTAGCTTGCATGATGTCAGTACAAGCGGATGTGCCCCATTATGGACAGCGTGTCTTCATCTGTAGTAGCTCGCGATAATTGCCACGGGCTTGCTTCCAAAGCGTTCAAGTTCTCATCGAAACGCGTTGAAGCACACTAAACACACCCTTTGTCACAATGTCTATCACTGCGTCTATGCTGCCGTAGACATGTTTCAATTAGTAGCTATACCAGCGTCAAAGCAATCGAACGAATCGATATACTACTTCTTCGGTTCAAAATTGTTGAGGAGAAGTTGCACTTTTGTGATACTTGAGAGAGCAACAACCTTTCGCCTGATTGTTACTGCGTAGGGTTCATGGACAAAGGCGTTCATCTGTGGTCCCAATTTCAACGCACGCGTATCACCACAAAGCTGTAATTACTCCGGAAAAGCTAGAAGGTGGTCATCGTGATGACTGTCCCCTTTCACTGACAATTCGGGGCTGTTTGAAGGATCGTGTGCGTTGGTCGGAAAGATACTGTGTCCCTGGACAGAAGCTCGAAAGAACCGTTTTCCTGTATCTACCCTATCATCAATTGTGCAAATCGTCAAGCTCCGGGTCTATCGCCACAGCAGTAACTATGGCTTCGCTCACGTTGTCAGGACTACGTCGTGGTCGGAGAACGATTGTGGCGGAAAATTGGTTCATAATCAGCACAATCCATTTGACGACCTATGGAACGAGCGATGCCATGTTCGCGGAGTGTAGACAGTTGGAAACCGCAGCAATTAAGGATGGTGAGCGTTGAAGACGTTGAGAAGTGGACGGGAAAAGAAGCGCAGCGACAAGACGGATATCTAGAAGGAAGAGTAAACGACAAGACTCAGGACCAATTTGACAAGTAGTTTCTCGTTCATTTCCACATTAACCGTAACGTCAACACATTGTGAAAGCGTGTTTATTGCTATACGCGATCATTAGCGTGCAGACCATGTTATCTTAAAGAGTCCGTCGTACTGAGAGACGGGACTATGTTAACTTATTCAATTGACCTTGCGTGCGTATAGAGGTGCGACTCAGTCATTCAACGGGCTCGGTTTGCACGCATGTCTCGAGCCGTTTACACTAGAGTCTCGCGGACCTCGCCATCTCCAGAAGTCAGATACGAAATGCAGTCGACAGCACCCCCATTAAAATTGGCTTAGAATGTCAGACATCTTGCACATAATCTTGGTTTTTGCTTACGATGATGTGCAAGATGTCTGAAAACTTAATAGACAGTCACAGATCTCTTGCTTTCTCTGGCATTGTCCTGTACGATTGCATCGCAACATTGTTCCCATTACTGTCAATACCATTACATGCATCTATTTGTTCTTGACATGCACACATATCGGTCTCGCACAAGCTCTGCCTTTTCAATAACGACTTACTATGCGCTTGTATTTATCTGTTTGCTCCTTCCCTCCTTCGGCAATACCGGTTCCGGAGCAGTCCTGTAGAGTCTTTCGCTTAAAACGTGGCGTTGACCCACCTAAGCTTGTCGCAGTATAAATGCGCCGGGGAGTTGCTCATTTCTTCCACCATGCAAAGTAAACTGGATCCGATAGTTATTACGTGCGACTCGAAGTACATTCGACAGCGTCAAGTTTGTTAACAAGATTCCCTGGGCGGTGCCATTCTTTGTATGACATTGCTATCGTGGAAAGCAGTCGAAGCTTTCCACTTATTACAGAGACGTCCCACGTAGAGCCAGCTGCTATGTTATCAAACCATATTTTTTTATGTTTGTACGCAAGATGCCACTGCTATTGTATATATTACGGCCTCCCACACGGACTTGCCGTGATGCGTTCATTGAACGCATCAATGTTAGAATGATCACATACGCTGCGTCACCTTGACCTGTGCATCATGCGGGACAATGACTGCCTATATATCCTCATGCGCGCGGACTCTTGAGAAACTGAGGGCAACTCTAGAGACCATCTCTCTCACGTGCTGATCGGTTCCTCAATTGACTTGGAATTGCAGATCTGGAATATTGGCTGAGGGTGCACACTAGTGCAAGTTCTGTCCCACGAGGAACGTCTAACAAATGACAAGGCAAATCTATGCTGCAGTGCATGATAGCCGTACTGCCTGCGATAACCTTCGTACTTCGTTGGTATCGGTCAACTCGTGCAAACCATTCGCGAGTAGGATTATAACGAGGCTCTGTGTACGAAGCGCATCGTGACGCAGTTATCCTGTAACGACACACACAGCAGACATTGCCAAGACAGTTCGGCTGCTGTCGATGCGAAACACATCGTACGATGCTTTGCCGTTGCTGCCCAGTCGACTGTCACTGCGCTGCTCCCAAAACAACAATCGTTTGGGCTTTGAACTTTGCTTTGCGACTGGAGATGTCGAGCGGGAAGAATGCAAGTCGAGTACTATTGCAGTCCACTTTGGGAGCCTCAATCTGAGAAGCTTATATACCTAGTGCGACCTTGCCAGATCTTCTTACCCTTTACAACCAGCTGTCGATGCTCTGTTGATTCTCGAATCCAGTGCCTCCAGCGATGAAGACCGGCGTCGTCGTCAATTCACCAGCTTGCAGCAGGTCCGTCACGCGTGCTCGATACATTGTATAGGCAGGAAGGAGCAGCTCATGGCAGTTGTGCTGTCAGGTAGACCACCTATGCTTGCTCCGCGCCAGGTGCGGTGGGGGTGAGACGCTTCTCAAAGATAGCATGTACCCACACGCGAAAGCGAACGACGTTCTGCTGTCTGTTGGCATACTGGCGACGGATGTACTCGTTCTCGACTACGACAAGGCCAGCGGTCGTAAAAATGTCCTCCACCTCTTCCGTCGTGAAATAGTACGCTCGCGTGTTGTCTTGGCGGACGTAAAAATTGTCCTGCAGCTTACAGCCAGGACGGAAGCGAAGCTGCGCTTGGTCGTAGCGGCCATAGTCGCGGAAAAAGAGCTTGCCGCCAGGCTTGATCGCTGCCACGACCTTGTTCACGGCGCTTTTCATCTTGTCGGGATGCAACGCCGACAAGCAAAACAAACACAGCGCAAAGTCCACGCCGCCGTTCGCAAAAGCAGCAGCAGGAAGTGCATCCTTTGTAATGTCGCACACTGAGGCCTGCACACGAGTGTCGTCGTAGAGCGGTTGTTTCTGCCCGCACCAGCCACACAATGGACAAACGGCTTTCACATCAGCACCTGCCTCTCGTCAGCTCTACAAAAGCGTATCAAGTCACGCCGATACAAAGTGGCCTCCGCACCTGTAGCAGGTCAATGGCGGAAGCTGCAAAGTCAATCGCCACGATACGCAGCGCCGGATTGACCTCCAGTAGCGGCAGGGCAGCATTTCCGACGCCACTGCCGACTTCCAGCAACGTCTTCGTCTCGCCCTGCTCGGGCACCACGGCCAGATCTGGAAAGACCACGTGGAGGTAGTGGCGGTCCTTGTAAAAGTTGCTCGAATTGCGCTGGTAAAACTTGTCCCAACTCTTGGCCGCCTCGTGCTCGTACTTGTCTAGTGCCACAAAACACACACCCACCCCCCACCCCCACCCCCACCCCGTCAACATTTTCGGCCAATCAGTCCACCGCCTGCTCTACCAGTGCTCCTCTTCCGACGACGCACTCTGCCAGAACGCCGAGATCGTCGACCGGTCCTGCTGCAAATGTTCCTGGGCCAGGCGCAAGCGCTCGTCGGTCCACACGTCGTCGCACACGACCTGCTCCGGGTCCTGCAGCACGCGCGTGGCCACACCCGCTTGGGCCACGAGCGCCTCGAGCTGCTTATTCGTCGCGTGTGTCATAGCAGAGCCAGTGACGCTGTCGACCAGTCAGCGAGTGTCGATTGCTAGCGCGAGTTGTGCAAAGTCGTGCCACCGACTGCACCACAGACGGTACAGACCCGACACAGACCCCACGTCGCCCTTCCTTCGACCACACGATGGTGGACATTGTGACGACGTCGAATTTCCACGCGACGCTTCTGCCAGGTCCGACCCGCGCCGCTCTGTCGCTCTGTCGCTCTATCGCTCGTTGCAGTGGCACTGTCTCTTGTTGCAGTGGCGCTGTCTCTTGTTGCGTGTCGTCTGGTCGTCGTTCTCGTCGAGCTAACGGTGTCACGGGCTCTGGTTGTGTAATTGTGTTGTGTGTTGTGTTGTGGGGTTTCTATTGCAGGGCTCGTGAGTGTCGTGTTTGTGCCGACAGAGCACATTTGCCACAGTAGCTGGTCGCTGCTCAAGTGCGTGGGCGCTGTCGCTGTGCTCGTTCGTCATTGGCTTTTTTTTGATGGCGGGCAACGATCGAGTGGAGCTGCTGGACCTGTGACTGACGATAATGTCTGTGTGGGTTCGCTTGATGATGTTGTTGTTGTTGTTGTTGTTGTTGTTGTTGTTTGTTTTTCAGTCTGTTGCTGTACAGCGGCTGCAGGTTTGACGATAATGAGCGTGGCTGCGTGCGCACAGATGGCCACGTGTGTCGCTCGACAGCGACGGAGATATTTTCAATCGTGTCGGATCGAGAAGGCGTCACGCTGTTCATGGACCCGAATGGCATTGAGATATTTCAACGTGCAGTGCGTGCTCCTTAAAAACTTACGACCGATAGAGTTTTTGCCGTGTTGGAAGCTGAAGAAGCTGCTTGTGTTGCTGACGATAGTGCTGGATGCTGCTGCTGTTTTGTTGTTCGTAAGGGCATGCGGGACCTGATCACTGTCGCGCCCGTGTCTTGGCGAGCCATTCAGGTGAGCACTGTGGACGCTCATATGTTATGGACGTAAATTGAGGGTCCGGCAAACGAACGCGGCGGATGATGTTGTGTTTGTGTTGTTTGCAATGCCGTCATCGTGAAGATTCACTTGGGGCCCATGGTGGCGGAGTTTCCGGGTGTTGTGAGCTTTTTGTCCAAGCTACTTGCAGACGACCACATTAGTATCCTCAATATGAGCACGTACGACACGGACGTCATGTTCGTCCAAGAAGTGGATTTGGACGCTGCCATATCGTGTTTGCAGTCAAAGCTGTCTCGCGGATTGCATGGCTTGAAAGAGGTGCAGCTCGCACGTGCACTCTTCGTACACGAGGCATCTACTTCTGACGCTTTTGGTTTTCCTCTTGCCGTGCCCTCAGGCAAAGGATGCAGAGAGCGCGCTGCTTGACCATGATCTGATGCCATCAGCTGATGACTCGGGAGGAAGTAACGAGGCGACCGCGTTAGAACTACCTCGTGTAGGAGACGGCCAGTACCTCACCGGTGCGAACTTGATTCATGTACTTTTCACATGAGCTGTTCAGTGCTGTGCTAACGACCGCGTCATTGCGCACGCAGTGTATTCCGAGTCCTTTGTTCTCGTGAGGCTTCAGAAAGACGCTCTTCGGGCTAGTGCGTACGGGCTCACGCAACTTGTATTGTCGTCTAGTGGGTCTGCGTCAGGCGAGACGTCGTTCTGGTGTTGCTGCGAGACGGCCGAGGAGATTAGCCTCATCATGGACGAGCGTTGCGTGCCGTCTTTTGAGAAAGACTCGCTGATTGTGTCACCGGATCGGTGGCGGGCGATCAAACTTAGCGGACGAACGTATGGTTTTGACGAGACCGGTGTGGTGGCAGCAATGTCGGGCTGTAGCACGGATACACAGGTACTTAACGTAAGTTGCTTCGGTTCCAACGTTGCTTTCGTGCTGGACGACTTGCTGGACGTTGCCATTGAGACACTGTGCTCGTCACTGGATATTTCGCGAGTGGAGAGACAGAGGATGTGACGCATGGAGCACATGTAGGAAGCAAATGTTGACAACGACGCGATCGCTGCAGTGAACCGGTCCGGTCCGGTATAATAGGAGTTTAGCCCGAAGAGGGGACAGCAACGGCAAAGTCGTCACGCGATCGATCGGCTGTGTACGCACGCAGTAAGTAGATCAGACGAACATCAGAGCAGTTCGCACGGAGTAAGTAGATCAGAAGAACATCAGAGCAGTTATACCACTCAACACCAGCTTGTTAACCGACCTTTGGAAACATTCTCAGGCATATGTACTATGAGCATCGTCTCACAACGACCCGTTACCAGCACTCAGCGGTCTTTCAGCAAATTTTCTACAGCTCGACGCCATCTTGCTTCCGCTTCTCTGCGAGCAGCATGGTCCGTCTCTCTTTCAATGCACCAATTTCACTTCTGATGTCGTTCCTTCGGGCATTTATCTTGCGTAGAGCATCGCCCTCGGGTTTTTGCGCCAGGCTCTTCGACAGCGACGCTTGCTCCTTCTTCAGGGTACTGATCTTTGCATCCACTTCGCTCAAAGCTGTCTCCATCTGCAACAATGACCAACCAGACATTAGCGTCACCGTCTTACAATAAATGACCCATCTACTGGCATAGCCGTGTGCTTACCTTCTTTTTGGACTTGAACTTCAAGTCAGCTTTCTTCTCGACCACTTGGTTGAACAACGCCTTGCTCTCCTCCTCCACGACTAGACGGTGCTGACGCACCGCCTCCAACTTGGCGTAAAGCTGCCGCACCTTGTCCATTTCCGCTTTCAAATCCTTGGCCACAGGGTCCTGCGAATCCATGTTGGCCTGGGCCTTGTGCTGCTCGAGACGTTTCTTCGCTTCCTCCACTGCCATGGCGAGTCGCTTGTTGTCACGCTTGTAGCGCATGCGCGCAGTTGCAAGAGCTTTGGCTTTTTCTTCGAGCGTTTGATTTTGCGCTGCTGTCTCGGCGTTAAGCGCGCGTTGTTCTTCGTTCTACGAACCAACAACAGCATGAAACACAAACCGTGTCAGCATTCCCTCGATCAACCACAAATTGACCTTAGTGAATACAAATGCTTACCGCCAGCATGTCTTTTTCAGTCTGTCAGGTTTCGCACAACATAACATGACATAACATCGTGTCCACGTAAGATACCTTCCCACCCACTTCGATCCACTCGTTGTCAATCACAAAACGTACCGCTTCTTTGCGCAGCGCTTCCACCTTAATACAATGTTCCGACGCAGTGACTTGGAGCTTTTCATTTTCCGCTTGCACCTTCTTGTACTGCGCCACAAGCGCGTCAAACTTCTTTTGCTGTACGACAAGCTCCTTACTCTGCTTATCGTGCTGAGCACGAAGCTCTTTCTCCAGCGACTTTGACCGCATAGTGGCCTCCTTGATCTGTTCCTCGAGGTTTGCAGTCTTCTCGCGCATCAATTCTTCAGTAGGTGCAATCGTCACATCATGCGCATTCACAAGCCACATGACGTCCGTCAGACTGATGCTCTGGTAGTCTTTTGTGTTGTCTTTTTTTCCGCGGTGTGCAAAAGTCACGTTCACGCGGAACCCCGTCTGGGTCTTTTGAGCCGTGCGCATAAACGGGTCGTCATTATCTTCTATCATGTAGTCGTTGCCTTGTCCATTTGTTGAGTCGGCCCAGTTGCTTGTGTTCACAGAAGAAGCTAACGACTTAGCTCCACCTGCTTCTGTGGGCGACTGCGGCGCATTTTCGTCCACGAGCTGACGATAGCGGATCCATCGACGACGACGCACTGCATCAGTGGGATGACGCGAGGCGTGACTGAGGTCATCACCGAGCAAACGCACAATCTCGACGAAATCGGCTGCATACGTCCAACCGTCGCGGTCCACTGCTGTATAGTTTCGGTCAATCTCCCAGTCGCTCACCCACTCATGACCAGCTGGAAGATCTCCTTCCGGCCTTTCATCGTGTCCAGCACCTGGTGCTGCATGGTGATCACTAAAGCGTTTCGGATCCATTGCCTGCAACTTCCCTTCCAGACGTTCGTTCTCAAAAATCTCGACAGCTACTTGGCCATCTCGGTCGACATCTTGCAACCCCGACCCTCGTGTTTGTAAACCTGCTTTACCCCCAGGACCTGCTGTCGTGCCTTGCAGCGACTGCAGACTCCGGTTTGCTGAATTCACGAGCGCCACCATGCGGGAGACGCCAAAGAATCCTCCACCAGTAGCTTTGCCATTGGTCGACGTCGTGTCCCCAGCTACGTCCACAGCGCACGACCATTTGACAACCGCCACCACCCCCCCCCCACCACAACAAACAAGCAAACAAACAAACAAAGAGAGTCAGACACAACCACAACCACTTGACAGATACAACAACTCGGTTGCTCCGTCAAAAGCGTTTTTCTCGTTCGTGGGTCGAAAAACAGCACAGGAAAAAGCGCTTTTTCCGGCACACACAACGCCAGCAAGCGCCTCCTTGCAGCACAAGAGTCGACTGCAATGGCTACACACTGATGTAACCCCACCAGTCGACCCGCGTCAACTGCCTCGCCCTCGCCCCATGATCACCCCCACCACCAGTAGCAACAGCGACACAAAACAAGTACCTGTAGCGCCCGAGACAGTAGCAGCACTGGTACTCGACGCGTGATTCGCTGCAGCCGCTGCGGCCGCGTTCTCGACGCTGCTGTTGCCCGGCAGAAGACTTCCGCCGCCGCTGATGCTGCTCATGGCCGACGCCGCCGCACCAAAGAGACCGGAGCTCGCGCTGGGCGCGCCATTGCTCGCGCTCGTGCTGGCCGAGCCGCCCAGTCGCAGGCGCGAGATCATTGGGGACAAGAAGAGGGGACGACGACGACGACGACAAGCGCTCGTTCGCTCGTCCAGAGGTGGAACAACGTGGATGGGGCGAAAAAAAACGGTATCACTTGGCGTTTGTATGCGCAGCAGACGACGCTAAACGACTGAATGTGATGGATTGTAATAAACGCCACAGAGAGGAAAAACGGCCGTTTTGTGTGTTGTCGTCTGTGCGAAATGTCGCACGAAGGGAGTCGCGCGATGTAGCCATCGAGTGGGTGCGGGTGCGCCCATGTTTGCAATGCCGTGCTACTGTTCGACAGATCGCGCGTGTGTGTGTGTGTGTGTGTGTGTGTGTTTCGAGACACTTTGGTTTGCGTGTTACAGGCGCTTTTATTTCTACAGCGACTCGCTCGCGAGCGTCGAGTACTGCGTCTTCTTGAGCTGAAGCTTGTGCGTCGATCGCGGGACCAATGACGACAGCGAGTCGCTCGAGCTCGAGAGGATCGAGCACGTGTCCGTACTGTCGTCCTCGTCCTCGTCCTCCACTTCTTGCTCTTTGATCTCAATCCTTCGCTCCTTCTTGATGCCTCGTACGACTGTGCTCTTTCCGTGCCTTTCCGAGCCCATTGTAGAACTTTGGCACGATTTTGCTGCATCCAGCGACGCCGCCACCTCGATCGTGGCCAGCGGGTGATGGTAGATGTACATGGAGATCAGAAGCACCGTCAGGCCGCAGCCGAGCTCGAGTGTTGGCGAGAAGGAGAAAAAGACCATGGAAAAGAGCATCGTGAGCACCATTGCCATGGCATGGGCATAGACGCAGGCGATGTTGTCCAAGTACTTGAGGATAAAGCCGACTCCAATGCCGCCAATGCTGTGCACAGCAATCACGGCCACGGTCCAGTGGTTGAAATCATGGAAAAAGCCCTTTGTGACGATGTCGTCGCTTTCGACCAGCAGAACGCCAGCGGTGTTGAACGCGATGCCAAACACGTACATCTGCAGATTCTGCCACAGGAACGGGCAGTCGGACTTCCTCTTGAACGTCCACTCCGTAAAGACACTAGCGCAGGACGACAGCGTGACGCCCACGAGCACGAGAAGCACACCAAGACCAAAGTCTCGAGTGCTCGCATCGGCAGCCAAAGTATCCACCGGCTGCGTCTCGTTCCTGCTACTTGTCAGTGGATTCAGCACGTCCCCTTGTGCCCGCAAATGGGTCGATTGACTCGTCAGGACTCCGACCAGGAGCAGCACAATCGCGATCTTCCGCAGCTCCGAGAGAGTTCGCTTAAGTACGAAGCGGAACAGCACCGCCGTGACGACAATCTTGAGGTTCCACAGCACGGCGAGCGTTGTCGCGTCCATGAAGCGCAGGATCACGTAGTTGAGGTTATTGTCGATCGTGTAGAGGAGCGACGGCACGGCATAAAACAGCGTCTCGATCGGCTCGAAGCGCGCGGGTCGCGACGTGCCCGTGCCGACGATTGTGCCGAGCATGGCGACCGCCTTGAGCACTTCAGCGAGCAGCGTGACGGTCAGACTGCTGTACAAGACCTTGCCATGCTGCTTGGAGGCGATGATGCACAAGTTGCCCGAGCACGAGAGCACTGCGAACGCGCACATGCCGACCACCACGCGGCCGAGCTTCATGGTCGGTGCTTCCAAAGTGGACCTGATTTAATGTGGTGCACGTAGATCGAGAGCGACAATAAGCTGTTAGAGGTAGTCGAACCTGCGGCACGATCGGGACTGCAGGTGGCACGATGCGTCGCGTCTGGATGGCCAACGAAGACCGCTGCATGCATTGCTGTCGTTCGTGCGTCGTGTTCGCGTGCCGCGCGGCTCAACCATTTCGAGCGCACTCAGTGGGAGGACAGGATGGTATGGCGGCAGTCGTGGACGATGTCGGTAGTTGGATGGCCCGGCTGGGCTCACGGGACGGGCTGAACCTGTCAGTTCCGATATCGTCAGTCGAGGTTTATCCTTGGATATAGCTGAGGTGTGCTTGTTTTGATATAATCGATTTATCCGGGGTTATGATGTCGACCGCTGCAATGTGATGTGACTGTTTTCGAAAGAGAATGGGACAGAAAATGCTCAAATAGCTGCACACAGTCCAAGTGGGGGCCGCTACAAGAGTTGCGCGTCACGACGTAGAAGTCATATATTGTGTGAAAAAAAACCGCGGATGGGTCTAAACTCTTCCGCTAAACATTGCGCAAACTGAGCCATTCGTCCTACTTCTTGTGAGACCGAAAAGCACGTAAAACTGCGTAGTGTGCTGGTACGTACGGTCCAACAGCTTGTTGCTGCTGCGCTGTGCTCCGTAGGTAACCGCAAGCAAGCGCTGGGAAACGATCTCGCAGCTATTTACCCGGTAGATAGCCTTGGCTCTACCAGATCAGATAGCGGTTGCTGTCTGCTCCAAGACGCCCATTTGAACTTGTCATATCGCTAAATTGCATCGAGTTGTCGTTGCCGACGTTGTCCATCTACATGGCGTATGGTTACAGATAAGGCGCATCAAAGTAGACCGCTGCGTGGAAGGCTTCGTTGTTTCATTGATGTCGGATTGCAAGTCGTGAAGCCTGCGCTCATCTAATTTTTTTATATATTTGATACAGAGTTGTTTGTCAGGGAGGTTAATTGAATTAATATAAGAGAAATGTAAACAGTCGCAAAATTAACGGATAGAGACGCAGAAATCTTGTATTTAGTTGTCTCGATATAGAGAACTGTCACAAGATCGTCACTGCTCGCGATAACGTCAACAGAAAGCGTTGGACTTACGGGACTATATATATGGTGTCCTTACGAATAACTTTGTACCGATAGATCATGTTTAAAAATGCGCTCATCGAGCACCGCGCAATGTAAATTTGAAGATATTGTGCTTTTTCAAGGCGCAAGCGACATCATTGTTTTTCAGAACGTCTCCGGATCAATGCGATCACAGGTATGTAAAAGCTTTTCATGACCCTCATGTCGTCCTTGTCATCATTATGTAGTAATTCTAAACGACGCAAGCCAAGAGTGTTGGAATGAAGTGTTGTAGTTGCGCTTGTGCAAAGCTAGTAGAAAGTAATACTAAAGGATCTTCAGTGTTAACTACTTCTTTTGTCAACACTACGGTATACACGACATACAACAAAACTGTAATTTGACCATGTCAAGTTGCACACGACGTCCGTCTCTCTTCGTTCCATGTGTCACCCTATCACATGGCGTCCACCTCTTTTCGACCCATCTGTCACCTTGTCACATAATCAGCCAATCAGGTGAGGTCGGACTTACCTGTAACAGGTATTGCACTTGAAATGCAGAACATGCTTGACCCGTCAGAAAGAGCATATTCTAGCAAAGAGTTCGTTGTTACAGCATTTTATGTTTCGGTCCCACGAAGCGTATAACTATCAGGAATGTGCCTACCTACGCAAACAAATGCTTTGGCACAAGAAAGTGTACGTCCATTGCCGATGGCGGTGAGATGCAAACTGTTGATCCCTAGGTTCATGTACAACACGAGATAGGATGGGAGTAAGACGTGCGCGATGGTCCTAGTGTGCCCATATCGGCGGTTTGTGGGGGGGCTACCCGGGCGTGGTGGAGCCGGGACACTGCGATGTGACGGATGTAGGATTCGCACTGGAACCTTGACCTGGTATCAGCTGGAAAATGCCACCCCAAAGTCCCACCTTCCCTGGGGCTGCAGCTAGTCGGCAAACCTACGCGTCAGATGTAGCCGGCTCTTGCCGTTTTGATGACTGTTGTAACGGGGTTACACGTCGACTGGTAGTCGACAATAGGTGTGGTGCACACAAGGGATGGGATCCCCTTTTAAAGTGATATTAGAACACAGTATTAATTGTTGAAGACTGATGTCGGTCAACCATTGATTACGAGATCTTATGAGAGGTTTATTTAGGACATTAGCGAGTAGGTTAATTACGTTGTTCTAAGGTGTTCTTTGTGGTTAAAAGAAGAAATAAAGCTCAGTTCTTATTTTGATCCAATAGACACGTGCCTCTCTGAGGCGTCCTGCGATCGTTTAGGCAATAGCAACGTCTTGTTAAGGCATCTACTCCTTGTGCACTATGTGCGTTTGATTCTTTGTATCGTTTGGTCCCCCTGGAACAGGGACCGTAAGCTATCTGAGCTTGTTGACTCATTGAGTCGGGTTCTTAAAATCGAACCTCAGCTCTCTGAGCTGTTGACTCTTTGAATCGGGTTCGTAGAACCAAAGTTGCTCATTGAGCGTTAAGTCTTTCTCTGACTTGAGGAGCTGTGTAGCTCCGCTACACTTCGTAGCACTTGTAGTCAATCTACGCCTGAGTCATCACGACAGATCCTCTGTGAGGATGGGGCCATCCACACCCCTCTCTGAGGCCCAAAAGGTAGCGCTTGATAAGCTGACCGCGGCCGTAGGCCCAGAGTATGTGGAGTTTCTAGCTGCACAAGGTCCCGATGTGCTCAATGCACGAGTCGAGACCTTATGACGTATGAAACGGCCCTGTTAGGGCAGGTTCAAAACCAAGTAGCGTCGGCTATGCCGACACGCTACGTGGCAACGCCACCAGAAGAGGCTAAGCCTCGTCCCCTTCGGTTGGACGCTAAACATTACTCCGGGAAGGAGGGGGAAAACCTGAACCTCTGGATGCGTGAGATTGAGATGGCCATGAGCTCTGGCCTTATCTCACTGGAGTACCAGCGGGTCTTGCTGGCTATCTCCAAGCTCGATGGAGGAGCTAGGGAGTGGGCTCTGACGTGTGGCACGTCGGTCGACTTGGCGTTTCCCACATGGGATTCTCTCAAGTAAGACCTTTTGCGAGTTTTCTCGCCGCCTAACCAGGATTATCGCGTGCGCTCACGCTTCTTGTCCACCCGTCAGGGTAAGAATGAGCTAACGAACTATGTCCAAGAGTTGAGAACTCTGATGGCTGCTATGCAGTCTGACCCTTTCCCTGAGACAGTCTATGTGACTGTCTTCATGGAAGGTCTTCGTAATGGCGTTGCCAGTACCGAGGTATTTCGGTTCCATCCCTCTACTTTTGAGGAGGCTGTTAGCATCGCTCAAAATGCTAAGCACAACTTCAAGTAGGCCAGACTTGGTTGGAATGGGTACAACCCAAGCTTTGCGAGGGCAACCTCTGCGAGCACCTCGGCTTACTGTAAGCCAGAACCGATGGATCTCAGCCATGATGAAGATGAAGGTGAAGCGGGGCTTCATGTTGCAGAGCAACGACAGAAAGTGAAACGCTGTTATATGTGCGGAAGCACTAAAATATTTCGTCCCACTTGTCCTTTGCGTAAGCAACAACCGACTCCTATGGGTCGAAAACCCAGCCCCAACCAGAAACCTGGTATGACACGGGATAACGTCGACAACCAGTAGGTGCGGGGCGCCCTACTGGGGTAGAACTGAGTTCTGTCACTTCTCTACGAGTTAGTGTGAAACAAAGATTAGCCCCACCGAGCTCTTTGCCCGCCAGCACAGAGCGTGGACCAAGCCTGGCTTGTTAGTCGCCGAGGCGAAAGTTGAAGGCTTTGAGAAGCATTGGTCGATCCTAATCTACTCCGGAGTATCATGCAATTATGCTCGACGTCGTTTCCTTGAATGAAGTTAGCGATATGCTGAAGCGTTCAAAGCGCATGAAGGTGATTCGATCACCGTTCGTTTATCGACTAGTAGTCGCGTCACGGTGCCTAAAGTTCCGTTGAACTTATGTGTGAAGTTTTTGGACTTTGACAGCATTGAACGCTGTCTTGTCCTCGGCTTGGATTCGAGATACGATCTCATCCTGGGTATGGCTTGGCTTGAACGCCATGAGCCATGTACTGATTGGAGGTCTAAGACCTTAGGCTCCACGCGCAATGTTTCTAGAGAAGCTTTGAAGAGTCATGAACCCACCTTTTCTAGGCAACAAAAGCGTTATTGGCGCGAGCCATTGACGGAAGATGTCAATGTGCTGGACATTGGTATGTCAGAGTTAATTAACTCCAATAACAATGACATCCATATTGAGCGGAGATCTTTCACCGTATTTGAATTGAGTTATGCTCTGTTGAGTGATAATCGTTGTGATAATGAGTCACTGCATGCTGCAGGCATGGTTGGCCTAGGGCCGAGACATCAAGAATGTAATTCCTCTGATGTGAGTGGGGTGGCACGTAACATCCCACCGAGTGAGGGCGGCCGAGGGGGCACCTCACTGAATGTCGGTAATGACATTGATGGCGAGAATCCAGAGTGTTAAGGGCTAGGCCCGAACGCTGTACGTGAAGTGGTACGTGTGAATCCGCTGGGTGAAGTGTTCGAGCTACGTAACACTTCACCAGATGTCGTTCAAGACATGAGCTTTCGTATTGAGCGTACTAAGATGAATAGCAATCACGGGGACCCTACTGTCCCGTCCTCTAGGAGGCGTAAGGTTTCTTTGAGGAAACAATCTTAGCGTAGGGTGGCAACTGTTAAGCGCCCAACGTCTAAGAAGTCACGAAGTGATAATAGTAATAATACACTATATACACTTGTCAATGGGTTGACTGGCCAGATTGATGGCAATATTAGTCTTGAGACTCTTCCATCCTTGGATACTCTCTTTGAACTAGACGAAATGTCTGACGGCGAATTTAGCCAAGCCTTACAGGCA